GCATAGACAGATTTATTTGTGTTGTTGGTAACTCACATGTTCCACTTGACTTTCCTCTCAGCCTATGGTGATGCACCTGGCCTGTGTAAACATGAAGATGTCAATGAACGAAGCACTAGCAGCTGCCACGATTAATGCAGCTTATGCTCTGGGAAAATCGGACACACATGGCTCCATAGAGAACGGCAAGCAGGGGGATCTCATTATCATAAATTCATCAAGGTATGTTCTTCCTTTGTTCTTTGAAATGTAATTTAACATACAGGACTTATTTTTCCATCCACTTGTGGAGAGTGGAGAGATTAGTGGATTACTCGTGTTTTGAAATTATTATCATCTGCAAAAAAAGGGACAGTGCTAGCATCTTAGACTCACTCTCTTTCTCCTCAAGTATTAATCACTCCAGTGGAAGTTAAAGCCAAAGACTTTCAGGGCTAATATTACAAATAATCTGCACCTAACTACAAATTATCTAAAGATAATACCTGTTTATTTTGTGGAAGGAATTCTCTACTGGTTTGTACATTAACTCACTGTATTCATGCAACATTGCGACAAGAGATCAATGTGTAAACACGGAATAGTGTTTTCCCGTGGTTCAACTAAACCTTTTTTAGTAGCTGGGTATACTGGGTATGTGACCTGCTTTTATATTCGTAAACATTTTGTTGTCTTTTCAGGTGGGAACACTTGATTTACCAGTTTGGGGGACATCAGGCATTGATCGACTATGTTATAGTTAAAGGAAAAATTGTGTATAAAAATGAGAGGTGTGGGATGATGAGCAGCTACTGAAAGGAGAGAGTCATTTCGGAACTATTATAATCAAACAGACATCGAATGTTTCAGTTACAAAAGGGAAAAACCGCACTGGACTTGTATTTTACTGATAAATTGTTTGCCTGCTCATCTTACCAGCCCTTTTGTTCAAATCGACTTTACCAAGCATTACGCATCTGGTGTTTTTTCATATCAGTTATCCTTCTCTCCAGGGCATAAAAATAGTTTCTATTGTATCGCTTTGGAAATAAGACAGTTTCCTGAAACGAAAATGTAATGCAAATGTAATGAAATGCAATTTTAATCTATAAAATTATTATATTAAAAGAGCAATGAATGAAGAAGTTTGGATCAAGGTAAGATTTATTGGGAAGAGCCATGTTAAGTAACCTGTGATGCAGGGCCAAGGACTCAGGCAGGCACATTTGGAAAAGTGCTTGGCAGTGTTGGGAGGTCACAGCATCTTCAAGGAAACTGTTTCACAGCTCCTGCGTCTGCTGAGTCCTGAACTCAGCACAAACCGGGAGCCACAATCCTGGTAAGAACCACACTATCTTACCTCTTTGAAGTACAAAGTCTCTTGGTTTCTGTGGAATTAAAACTCAGTGGGAGCCAGCAGCTGGAAACCCAGGCATACCAGTGAGGTACTGCTCATTAGCTGATCCACAACTTTTTGTTATGTCTTTTTCAACTTGTTGAGAATCTCTGTGGTCCTTCAAGACTGTAGAGGCGCACCTGGAGGAGGAAAAAAGTGCCATCTGGTACATGACTCACTGGGTTGCAGACATTTGGAGTGTGTTTCAGTTTAGGGGTTGAATTAGATCTACAATTTGAAGTTAGTGGTGCCAAAGCCTTAAAATGTACTCCTAGAAGCAGTTAGCCCAGTGAGGTTATGGTTTGTTGAGAACAGCAGACTTCTCAGCATTTCAGTCGCCTTGAAACTGAAAAGATCACCTGCAATCTCAGTACAGATATTCCAAAAATAACTGTTCTTATTTACTGCAGAGTGGACCTGAAGTGACTTATGAAACATGTTTCTTCATGCTTGTTTGAATGTGTTTATGATGACAAAGCTGAGTATGAATATGATGATTGTTACTCAGAGCAATTTGAAGCCTTAAGATCCGGGTTACTAAAGCTCTTTGAAACCTATCACAAATGTGTATAAGCTTTATTTTGAACTTCTGTTGGGCTCATCCTTTAACTACGAAAACGTGGAAAGAGACACACTGTAGGGTGGCTTCCATGTTTTTTTTTTTTGAGCCAGGCTAGCCAACTAGATCTTTTCCTTTTATCAGTTTAATGGCCTTCCTGTTACTAGATACATTTCCTTACAAGCAGATGTTATAGCATGTGGGGGTGGACCTTAGTTTTTACAGGGCTTGGAATAACATCTGAAGTACGTTGTCACGCAGTCCATCCTGCCCAAGACCTCACCTAGACAGCATTCATAAATAACATTTATGCGGGCAGCTGGGGAGACCTGTCAGAGTGAGAGCGCCGGCATTTCTGAAATGCAGCACTTGATTGGGGGGCAGTGCCTTTACAGAAAAGACCGTCTCTAGCTGCATTGATGCCAGGGTGCCTGGCTGCTCAGCTCAGCACAGGTGCAGTGCACAGTGAGGCAGGTATGCTGCTGCATGTCCTTGAGCTACACATGTCACAGCTGGCTTGAGGTGCTTTGTGCCACTCGCCATCATGCAGGGTAGCATGCCCTGCTGTGAGCTTGGCAAAGCTTATTGCACAAAGCGTGATACACTGGAGCAAGATGGAAGGAGGAAAGGGCTGAAGGCTGCTGGTGCCAGAAGCGCAGGTGAGTGGGAAGCAGCACCCATGGCCCTGCAATGTTCCTCCCCAGGGCAAAGACGTGCAGAGGTTAAATGTTTTGCTTGCATTTACACTGCGTTTTAATACTGTTTCTCACATGGCAGGTTGTCACAGCAGCAACCAGTACGGAAGATGGACTTGAACTGACATAGTGATAGGCCCTAAGGCTCTGATGGCCGCATGTGGTGGCAGAGTCTGTATGTCAGCTCTGCCAAGCGGAGTCAGTATTTGATCACTGAAGTGCCTAAAGCCTTTCAGGGCCCAATATTGCACAAGGAAAATCCCTAATATTCTTACCGGCCAGAACAGCCGTTACTGTCCTGAAACTACTGACCTGAAGGGAAGGCTGCTCTCACGCATGAGCTCTGACAGGAATTTCAAACCACGTGCTTGCCTGCCTAGCTTGGTCTAATTCAGTAGCTGTTTCAGAGCACACCCCAAGGCTATAATTAGTGGGAGGATGTGGTTATACTTCAGTGGTGCAGCTGGCTTAGGCAGTTCCCGATGGCCAGCGACGTGGTTTTTGCCCTTATGCAGTCTGCTGCTACCACTGCATCTGTGCAGCTGCAGTGGAGGGCACAGCCCTGACACATTCAATGTTAAACACACACAGCAGCACGTAGAAAGCTTTTGTTTGCTTGCTTTTAATTTGATTCACTTCAGTGATGACATTCGCTGTGTCACTCCCACAGCAACAGGAGCACACAGGCGGAAGGCCTAAGTAAGAGCAGCGGGTAGGAACTTAAGCCAGTTTTGCTACTGAAGCAATCACGTTATTTAACCTGAGGCTGAGCGCAAATGATGTAAGAACAGGGCTGTGGGCTGCAGAAGCATGCTCACACTTCATTTCAATTAATAGCTCATTTCACACAGAATGGAAGAGGCCAGAGCCAGGAGGGTAGAGCACTTGGCCCATAAGGGCAAGCTGGTTTTGGGGGGAGGTCAAACACGCTGCAGATCAGGCACAGATGGAAGAAGCTGAATTGGGAGCTCACACACCATGGGTTGGTATGGCAATTTCCAGGATTATTGAATTTGAGGGTCCATCACCACACTCACGTTCATAGCTTGGAGAAACAAGTCAAGCAGCACCTAGCTCTTTGCAGGGCAGGACACAGGACACCCTACACAACTCAATAGTTATCCTACCTGCCAGCTTGCCAACTAGTGCTAATCCTGTTCTCAGGGTACATTTAACATTGCTCATCACAGAAACACCTGAGCATAGCCCCATAATAGCAATTTGGCTGCCCCTTGCAGCATAGGTGCCTGCCTGGGTAGTTACCAAGTTCTCCTGGGAAGATTTCTGTCCATCCCATGCTGAAGCCTCTGTAGCTGTGGTTATCAAGCCAGTACTGCCAAGGCTGTTAGTTCTAAACTAGCCTTTATGTGTCGTCACTGTGCTATGATGTGGGTGTACATACACTAGGTGTTATAACATGGGGCAGGTTACAACATGTGAGCCAGCGGGTGCCTGGCGAGCCCAGGAATTCCAGACCTTAGCACTATCACCCCAGAGCTGGTTCGCATCCCATGCTCCTGCACCACTTCCTGCCACCAGCCTGTACCATTTCCTGACCCTCTTAGTTTCTAAAGAAAGATTTTGCTTTAAATTTTCATCACCACACTGGTGAAGCCAGTGAGGGAAACCATACAGCTGCATGTGAAACCTCACCGTATGTATTGTAGGTTTGAGCCTGTGGGCTTCTTTGGAAAGCTGCATTAAGTATAGTCCATCATCAGAATTCAACATGGTGATCTCCATAACACATTTTTAATGCATGCAGCTTTTTTGATTTGTGAAGCACCTGCTCTAAAAATGTTCCTGTTACAGAGGAAGCTGTATCTCACATGTGATATGCACGGTGCTGGAGGAGCAAAAGCAAGAAGAGTTGAAGTGTTGAAAGTAATTTTGATTGTGTCAGAATGTAAGGTACTGTACCACATTACCCAAACAAAAACAGAGTGAGAATATCAAATCTAGCTGTTCAGTATCATTGCCACAGATAAAAAGAGAAAACAAGTGAAGAGCTGACAAAACAAATACAGGAGGCACCATATAAACATCCTCTGGTTCCTCCACTGATTTTACTGTTTTGTGTTCAGGAGCTCAGTAAATTCAACTGAATTCAGTGTCTTGATTGTTCACACCGTCATAACAAAAAACTGTCTTTCACATGCTGGGAAACTGGTGAGGCATTTCTCTACTATCCATATGTGCTTCTGAGCTAGACAGTCGGTTCCTTTGCATCACCAGAAGAAAGCGAGATGAATTCTAGTAACACAGCCATCCCCAAACAAGGTCCTGGAAAGGATCTACTCTCTACCAGATGCCAGCAACTATTAAAGTTCATTCTGACAGCTCTCGTCATGACCAGCACACGCATTCACTGCCAGCAATCCCAGGGTAAACGCTGTTGGTGAAACAGGCCTCGATTCAGGGATGTGTTCCCTCCTATACTTTTCAATGTAAGGTTCAGCCACTTCCCACACCTGCAAAAGCAGAAAGTGAAACAACAGAGTCAGAAGCAAAACAATTTTCCTTCAGACTCAGTCATACACCAATGCACAGTTTCAGGAAACGGTGCAAACATTACTGAGACGGAACTGAGAATTACAGACCAATGTAAATAAGCTGCATGGGACCAGCAGAAACAGTGAGACAGTCAGAGTGAGGTTAGGCAAGAGCATGTGGACAAAGAGGCTGAAGCCAGTCACTGAACCTATTGAGGGGTATTTCCAAAGTGGAACTGCAGAGTACTCCTAAGAACTGATCACATGGCACATGCCAAAAATCAACACTTGCCTTCTGCTCCACCAGCAGCCTGTGAGCTGCTTCAATGTCCGGGGCCATGAAGCGATCCTTCATCCAAGGCCTATAAGGAGACACATTGAGAACATTGGCCAAACATTAACCACTGCCACAGTCAGCAAGTCTCCAAAGCGGTAACCTCTGGGCAACACATTTATCTGATCTTACCTCACAACAGAGCGCACAAGGTCATAGACTTTCTCCAATGGGGTTGTCGTTCTCAGAGGGCGTAGGAACTCAATGCCCTGGCAGGCTGCAAGCAGTTCAATAGCCAGAACTAGGAAGTAAAAGAGTGAGAGAGATTTTTAGCAGGTACAGCCCAACGGGAGTTTTCATCTATAAAACTTGGAGTTTGTTGTAGCTAATATGATATTGTTTCAAGAAATACGAAAAGACCAGTGGATCCACACACCCAGACAGGCAGCCCAGCAGCAAGGTTATTTTATGGATGGCCCTGGGAGAAGTAGCCAGTGTTGTAGAAAGCAGATTTTGGGTGGTCTGCAGACTTGTCAATGTGCCAAGCACTCCTAATTACCGCAGTCTTAAAATCCATAAAAAATCTCATCCAGGGTATCTTGAATACCCAAACTATTGGCATCATAAATCAGAAAACTTTTGGACTCACTTAGATGAAGAAAGGGCCTTGAGCTATAAAAGAAAGTTCTGCTCGTGAAACTTGCAAGAGCGCAAGTTCAGGCAAAAGCACTGATAAAATTACAAGGGCTTTCAAGCAGATTCTTCTTCTTTCTGGAAAAGTTTGCACAGTATTTACCCATCTGCCACCTGATTAGTTATTGGCATTAGTTTCTTATTTTCATATGAACCAATTCAAGTAAACTGGATCTAAGACACATTGTTTCTGCAGTTACATTTATCTGCAACACAAAAAAAGAAGTTTTATAGAACTTTAAGAGCACTCATATAATGTATAAAAACTAAGTGGGCAAAACACATTCAGTATTTTTGTACTATGTATCGTTCTGTTTTTCCAGCAGCAGCTGACATCTGTACCTAAGCAGCTCATCTGCAAAAAAAAAAAAAAAAAGAATACTTTTGCTTTTCTAAGCAAAAGAAGAGGAAAGGTCTTTGAAGGCCTTTGCTGACTGTCCTGTAGTAAGCAGTTTTATTTCACAGGAACACTCAACTCTAGATTTACCTTATCTCTGTTAAAAAGATCCAAATGCTTGTAAAAATATATATCTCATACAATATCTTTGAATAGCTCTTTCAGATTCATGAACTCTCTGGGTTTTTTTAAAATGATGATAGCATGATGACAGGAATGGCACTAATATCATAATCTGGTTACATACAGTAGATGCGTCTAGAAATCAACATCTTAACTTTACCTTGTTCCACATGTTCAATAACTCTCAAAGCTTTCCTTGCAGCCCATCCTCCCATGGACACGTGATCCTCTGTAGCAGCACTGGTTGAGAGAGAATCCACAGAAGAGGGGTGGCACAAGGCTTTATTTTCAGAAACTGCAAAAGTCCAGTGCAAATAAGTGGGG